ATCATGCCCCTCTCCCTCTCTAGGCATCATGCCCCTCTGTCTCTCTAGGCAGCATGCCCCTCTGTCTCTCTAGGCAGCATGCCCCTCTGTCTCTCCAGGCATCATGCCCCTCTGTCTCTCCAGGCATCATGCCCCTCTGTCTCTCCAGGCATTATGCCCCTCTGTCTCTCTAGGCATCATGCCCCTCTGTCTCTAGGCATCATGCCCCTCTGTCTCTCTAGGCAGCATGCTCTTACCACTGTCTTTCATATGCTTGTCACAGGCGTTGTCATCAGATGCTCCCCAGAAGAATGAAGACATTCTCTTTCCCTCTGCCATCTCCCAGGACCTGGCACACTTGGGCTTCCTGTCTACTCACATCTTCCCAATGAATTTGTTGTCTTGGTTAGAACAGTACCAGGGTTGAATTATCAGAACCGCCGAATGCCGGTCACAGACGGACCGCAGTGTACCATGACAACCTTTTCTTTCTTGTACCATTTTCTATTGAAAAATTCGTTTTTAGTGACAAGACTTACGTTTTCCATATTCTATCACCTTCTCCTTCTGTCACCCGAATCTCCTCTCAGTATGCTCAGACATGTCAGGTGTTCTAGTAAGTTAATCTCAGCAGTATTTCTCCTGGAAGCTTTTTTAGGACAGTGTTGTCATCCTGAGATTGACTTTGTCTCGTTGTGCGGTTCCCCCCACAAGTTCTGGTCCCCCTACTGTACCCTGCCTTCCCTCGGTCTATACAGTGTTATGTTGGAGCATGTCCTGCAGTAGCTTCCTGAAGACTGGTGATCACTGGAGGCACATATCTAAAACGTTTTACAAAAGCTGGCCCACTGTGGCCCACAGATGAAATGTGGTTCAGTGCTTGTTACATGACCTGAAGAGCATTCTTAATTTTTTTTCGGGGGGGGGGTCTTTTTGAGACAGGGTCTCCTCTGCCTCCTGAGTGCTGGGATTAAAGGCGTGTGACACCATTCCCAGCTGCAATTTTTTAATTTATTATTTTTATTTTATGTGTATGTGTGTATTGCATTACATGTATATAAGTGCACTTATGTCGTGCAATGCCTGTGGAGGTCAGAAGAGTTCATCAGATACCCTGGAACTGGAGTTAGAGACAGTTGTTAGTTGCCATGTGGGTGCTAGGATTCGAATCAGGGTCTTCTTCAAGAACAGTTAGTGTTCTTAACCTCTGAGCCATCTCTCCAGCCACTGCATTCTTCATTTTTAAAGGGTTGCAAAACAAAGAAAAATACACAAGAGAGACCAACTGCAACCCAAAAAGTTAAAATATCTAACTCTAACAAAAAAAGAGAAAATATTATTGCATATGGCTTTTGGCCACATTGTACTTATAGCCTGGCTGTAAAGGTTGTTTTCATAACACATTTGGAATCAAATCTATCCTGATCTGAACTCAGTGATAAAACGTAGGCCAACTTGAAGCTTCTTTTCATTGTTTTGTAGGGAATTTATGGTGAATATTCGTGCTTTAGAGATTTTCTTACTACTTTTTTGTTTTTGATTTCTGGCTTCTTAATAATTAGAGAACATATTCTGAGTGGCCTCAGTCCTTTGAAACTTGCTAAAGCGTTCTTGATGACCAGCATGTGATCAGTTTGGGTAGACAGTTTCTGCTATCCTAAAAAAGAGTGTCTTCTAAATTTGTTGGACACAATGTCTGCATTTACAATTATATCATTTGTTGTTTACATTGTTCAAATCATCTGTGTTCTCTCTGACTTTTCTTATTCTGCCATTTAAATCATTTTTGGAAAGACGTGTTAGAACTCAGTATGTGTGTGTAGACTTACCTCTATAGTTCTGTCAATTCTGTGCTGTATATCTTGAGTTTATGTAGTTTAGTCATATATATTTGTAATTCTTTTTTCTTCCTGACTCTTATCATTTGATGGTGTCCTCTTTATCCAATAGACTTTGCCTTAATCTTTTGCTTTCATTCCTTTTATGTCCTTCAATTTAATGTATATCTGTTATGAGCAGCCTATAATTCAGCTCTGTATATAAATTATATAGTCTGATCATTTAGTTTTGATTGACATAGCCCGTTTACATTTAGCGCAATTATAGATATGCTTGGATTTTAAATCGACTATTTTATTATTTCCTATTTGCTCCATCTGGTTTGTTTCACATCCTATTTTTCTCTTTTCTTATCATTCATTTATATTAATCAAATATTTTTGAAAAAGTTATTCCATTTCCCCTTTTATTAGCTTGTAGCTATGAATTTTATGCAATTCTTTTAGTAATTTAATTAGTAATTTAAACCTAAAGATTGAAACACACTAATTCATTATTGATAAACCTCACAAGATGCATTGGGGAACAGTTTGAAAACAAAGAAGCCGTTATCATAAATCAGTAAATGAATTGTTTATTTTTGTGGTACTGGGAATTGAACCTAGGGCTTCACATATGCTAGGCCAGTGTCGTACCACTGAGCTGGACTACTAACTCCTGCAAACTTAGTTTAATAGGAATAGTAATAAACCTCTGGGTGGAGTATTTTTCCACATTAGTAGAATTACTTATTATGTAGGTTACATGGCTGTGTTTCCATAAGAGACTACTACTAATCACTTACAAATAAGAGCGCTGAATCAAAAGCTCTCAAAATGCACTTTCTATACCTTCTTAACATTCAGTTCTGCTTTGTGGCTTTTATTATAAAAACTCTAACAAGCAAATACTCCCCAAGTGGGATTTATGGAGATCTTATGAAGAAAGGTGATTATTTCCTTTGCCGTAGCATGCATATTTTTCTCTTCTCTTTCTTTTCTTTTCCAGATGGGCAAAGCATGTAGCTGAGAAAAATGGGTACTTGGGTCACGTGATTCGAAAAGGCCTCAACGCCTACCTGGAGGGTTCCTGGTAAGCTTGGGACCCACAGCAGAGCAGACTTTCTCAATCCTTAACTTTCAATCTGTCAACATAGTCTTAGGAGATGGAATCTTAAAATGCAACTGAAAATCAATTTGCAGGGAAATCACAGCCTCCCAGTAATGATATTCAGAGTATCACAGACTGATTGGCTGTTGATTGGAAAACATTGCATTTCCGTGTTTAATTATACACAAAATTTAGTTCTCTAGGGGGGTAGTGTCCACATTCATCGGATTGAGAGACACACACATACACTGACATCTCTTTCCTTTAAGCCTGCTTTTCTTGACTCTAGAGTTGGAGACAATGCATAAGATCTTGGGTCACACACACACACACACACACACACACACACGTACACACCTCATACCCTGCCAGGCCACACAAAGTCTAAATTTCCATTGCATTGGTGGGAAGAAGAGAGACCAGTATGTGTAAGGTGAGGCTCTGGCCACCTCCTTTATAGAGAGCTGACTATACCTACTGTCACCAGGAGCCCGGGATTGCTGGATGTTACTCACTGGCATTCAGTGTCACAACTAGATGCCCCCTTCCCTACCTTCTGTAGCTATCCCATCCTGTCCTCTAAGAGACCAAATGTGCATGAGGATTGAGAAAGCATGTCCCTGCTGGGTGATCTTATAAATCTGCTGACACTCTCAGGTGCTACCTGCCTTCTTTTCCCATTTTGTTTTCTTCTGTTGAGTCTAGTCCTCCATCTTATTTTCCCTTGGGCCACATTTTCTTGGCTGGTTTATTGCCTAAATGATCTGGGTATTTCCATAATAACTAAAATGGATATGCAAATCAGCAGAAATCCCCTCGGTCCACTGCCTCAAAGACATTAGAGGAGACCTAGAATAGATCACACTCTGATATGAACCTTAATTAAAAATAAAAAGGTAAGTCCAAAACAATGCCGTTTCCCTTTTGGTCCAAAGTGGTGCTTGAAATCAACAGATCACGTCTCAGTGAGCAAGAATTTTAAATCAAAGCAGGGAAATGAGCCCTGAAAAAAAGCCCCAAATGTAAATGTTTATCTTATCACCCTATGGAACCCCATCATCTGTGGCTTCACTTTGCACAATCAGGAAAAAATCCCTTTAAATGAAGTGATTATCCCCAACTGTAGACGTACCTTGCTGTTTCCATGCTGTTAACTTGTTTCCCAAGTGCCGAGTGGACTTTAGTTTATAAGATTCTCAAACCCAGGGCTGGGTATGGTGGTATATGCCTGTAATTCTAACGCTCAGGAGACTGAGGCAGGAAGATAACAGCAAGATCCAGGCTAGCTGGGTCTACATAGTGAGTTCCAGGCCAGCTCACCTCCTCAAGCTTGTACAGGAGGCAGAGCAAGCAACCAAGATTGGGGAAAAGTGGTGAACACTCAAAGTCCACCCCCAATGATGTGCTCCCTCCAGCAAGGCTACACCTCCTAACTTCCCAATTGGAGACAAACTATTTAAATACTTGGAGCCCATGGGGGACATTTCTCTTTAAAACCACCACACATATTTACTGTATTACTTTAAACACGGAGCTTTTGCACATGGAGAGTGAGCACATGCACACACATGCGCATTCACACATACATGTATGTGTTGAGGCAGGTGGCTGGGGATGTGAGAGAAATGTTTCTGACCATTCCTGATATGGTCTTTCTTCTGGAGGCAGTTTTACTAGTATAACACACCTGACTCTTTCACCTGTTTGGCTTTCCCCAGAAAAGATTACATGACCTAATAGCTTGGTAGGATGGGAAAGCATAAACTGGCCCTGATCCACTATATTCTCTTCCTTATGGGAAGAAGCTGCCCATCAGAAACATGAATTCTGTTTATCTCCAATCTGTGCATGTTGGGGGAAGAATGAGGAAAGAGAGAGCAGATATTGTAGGATTCCAGTGCTCAGTGGGTATGACCTCTAGTTCTATGTTTGAAATCTTATTTGATAGCAGATATAAACTGCCCCCCTCCCTCAGTATTAGTTTCATTACTAAAAAACCTGGCATTGAGCTAGGGATGTAAAGTGGTAAAGTGTCTGCTTAACATAAGTAAGACCCATGGATTTGATCTCAGCACCACAAAATAAAGACGTATGTATAGAAACAAGCTTTCTGACTTAGTTGTAAATCTTCAAATATTCAGAACATGATTAAAGAAAACAGGAATGTATTTTATTAGGCTTCCTCAAATCCCAATGTCAGTTAGGCATGGTAATCTCAGAGCAAGCAGGGAAAGGCAGGCAGATCTTTGAGGGTTTAAGGCCAGCCACGTCTGCATAGTAAGTTCCAGGCCAGCCGGGGACTTCATAGTGAGTTCCAGGCCAGCCAGGTCTACGTAGTGAGTTCCAGGCAGGCCAGGTCTACATAGTGAATTGCAGGCCAGCTAAGGCTACATAGTGAGTTCCAGGCTAGCCAAGGCCACATAGCAAGACCCTATCTCAACTAAGTAACTAAATAACTAACAATTCCTCTCAAATCTGACTTTAACTCCTTCTCTCCCAACCTCCAGTCTCTGCTCCCCTAAGTTTCTTAAGGTGAACTGATCATTTAGTTATCAAAGTTTTTTCATGTAGTGTTTTCAACAACAAGAAACAGACCTGTAAACACACCCAGGCAATGCAGACAGGTCCTCAGATGTCAGACAACGGTATTTCCCCAGAGTATTTGTTAATAGCTTTGTTTACCTGCCTGTTTTTTAATTAAACCTCACAAAGCACTTGGGCTCTACACATTTAAAAACTTACTATACCTGAGTTAGAAGAACTCAGCCATAGAATGTGTTTTCCAACACACACCTTTGGGTGTCAGGAAGAGAACCTGAGTGGCATTGTATGTGTGCTTCTGATTCTGTTCAGATTTATGTGAGTGCTTAGATACAGGGCAGCTTGCCACAGGCCGCAAGGGTAGCATAAGACACACTTGGGGACTATGTGCTGCTCCTCCGCTTCCACACTTGGTTCTCATATGGCCCACATTCAGCCTGACTCTGAGCTCTGTGCTTGCCATTTCCTCTACCCAGGAGTCCCCACTTTGTCCTTCCATGGGCTGATTGCGCTTGTCAATTGTCAGAGCCTATATCACAATCAGAAACTACTAAATGAATTAACCAAGGCAAATAGATGAACGATCGTAACTCAAGGGCATTGACTTTGGGAATTTGGAGGAGGAAAAGATGCTACCTGGCTTGGGAGGCCCGAGACAGCCAATGGAGTTAGGAATGATGCTTCCTTAAAGGATGGGTAAGAATTCCCACTTAGCCATGCAGGGAACAGAGTTTAGGGTAACTCTAGAAATTTTCAAGCCAAGAAATGCCACTTGATAGAATTTTGAATGGCAAATTATACAGTTTTCATTTAAATTTTACTTACTAGGTGACAAGACCAGAAAGGGCTAGTTCAGAGTCCAAGTTAAAGGAGCTGGGCATTTGAAAGTAAGATATGGCTTGAACCAGTTGAGTGGGCATATAAAACAGCATGCAATACGCATATAAGCTCCAATGCACAGCAATAAATTCACCAACCTTCCACCCTACTCAAGAAGAAGGTGTGGTGGTACAGGGTTGTAATTCCAGCACAGGCCGCGGGTGGGTGGCACAGGGTTGTAATTCCAGCACAGGCCGCGGGTGGGGGTCGGGGGGTGGCAGGGGCAGGGAGATCTCATGTTTGAGGCCAACAGTCATTTCCAGGCTAGCTCAAGCAACTTAGTGAAACCTTTTATCAAGAAAAATAGAAAGAAAAAAGAAAGGAAGGGAGGAAGGAAGGGAGAGAGGGAGGGAGGGAGGGAAGGGAGAAGGAAGGGAAGAAAGGGAGGAAAAAGGAGAGAAAGAGAAAGGGAGGGAGGGGAGCAAGGAAGAGAAGAAGGAGTGTGAGGCAGGGGCAACCAGTGAACATCAGCAGTGCTGCTGAAACTCTCACAGTCCCTCCCAGATTGAATTCCAGCCGTGCCCCACCACCACCCAGAAGTACCCCCCACCCAGAAACATCTTAGGCATCTACCTCTTGCTTGTTTTATAATTTTTCTATCTATGGATATGCTCCTATGCAGTGGGTTTACTTTGGCTCATTTCTGACCTTTATATTATTGGAATCATTGTATATGTAATTCTTCAACTGCTTTTTCAACCCAACACATTTGTGGGATTCATGCATCTGATGCCTGCACGTCTGCGTACACTGTAATGCATTCCCCTGCTATCGCACGTCACGGTTCTCATGCTAATGTACGTTTGCACTGTTTTCCTTTTGTTGCTGTTTTTAAGCCCTGTGTGTCTTTGAACATTTGTTATGGCTCTCCTGGCACACACAGGAAGAGTTTCTGTAGAATATAAATTTGCGAGTGACACTCTGGGTCACAGCATAGGCACCTGTTACCTGTTCAACCTTACAAGACAGTGCCCATTGTCTTCCAAAATGGTTTTCATTTGCTGTCCTGCCTGTCATTTATATCTCTCTATTCCCCCTCAGCCTTCCCAGGCTCCATACTGATGTTAAGTGTGGTTGAAGCTGAGTCTCAGTCTGGATTTGAGATCTCAGTCTGACAGGAAAAATCATCTTATATCCATCACAGTGGGAAGATCTTTGTCAAAATATATTTGGAGCAAAGTGCTTCTAAGGTTTCCTGCTCTCTCAGCCTCCTAGCTGTCCCCAGGAGGTAAACAGGAAATAGATACATGCTGGCCTCCCAGCACTGTGATGTGACTTCTCTCATTCCTTCTATTTTGCTGTAATAGAACCAGAGCATCCATCAATGTCCCCAGCCCATCCCTCCTTTTCATTTTTTTGTGCAAGTGAATTTATTCTGGACGTTATTCCAAATTACTTGTGTCAGTTTGATGCGCTGGTGCTTTCCTCTGTTGTTCCAAGATTTATGTGGGATTGTTTAAGAGAGGACCGTGATTGAGAAAGGGGCTTTTTGCTGCATTGGCATAATGCCAAAGATAATGTTGTCATGCCCGAGGCGGTCCTTGGACACCAGAAGGAATGAGCAAGGAAGGGCCAGCCGTCATGTTTCATTTCTCTGCCTTAGCCGTATGGGTTTTATCTTCGGGCTGTGTGTTTCTGCCCTCTGTCTTCAACATACCCCCAAATACTTAACCCCAGAGCTCAGTCAGCATACAGTGTGCTTGTGGCAAGACAAGGAAGCATGTGAAGTTGCAGTTGAAGGAGTCACCTTTTTATAATGGAGCGATGAATTCCATAGACAACCGAAGAGATGGTTGTATTGTTTCTACCTTTCCTGTCTGAGCTGCTCCAGGCACTATCAGAAAAGAGCACAGAAGAGATGATATAATTGTTTGAGAAACTGCTCAGAGGTACTTAAACTCACAAATCACAGCAAGTGGCCAAAGAAGTTATTATGAAGATGTAGCAGCCGAAAAGTGCTAGAAAGTTCTATGCCAGGTTTGAAATGAGAGGGTGGCAGATGTGTCCCAACCTGTCTTCTGTGAGTCCCTCCTTGTCTGTGTTGGTTCCCACTCTTTGCCACAGTGACTGTTGGGACAGTTTTGCTTCAGTGCACGGGAACACTGGTCACCTCTTCAACCTCAAGGGACTTCACGGAAGAACAGGAGACCTTTAAAAAAAAAAAAATTATGTGTATGAGTGTTTTGCCTGCATGTATGTAAGTGCACCACATGTGTGCAATGCCCACAGAGGCCATAAGAAGGCATCAGTTCCCCTGGAACTGGAGCCACAGGTGACTGTTGGCCATGATGTGGGTGCTGAGAATCAAACCCAGGTCCTCTGCAAAAGCAGCCAGTGCTCTTAACCACTGAGCCATCTCTGTAGCCGCAAACAAGAGAGCTTTGAAGCCTGTCTTTGGACTTCCTATGATGGGCAAATACTAAATGAATGTTTGTTCCAGAGTATAAGTGTAGAAATAACTGTGATTAATACTTTCACATGGTTTCTGCTGAGACAGTTAAGTGAATGTTGGGAGATTACATGTGAGAGGATCTATGTCTCAAAATTTTGTATGCAAAGTGTGATATATGTGTGTTTGTGTATATGTGTGTTTGTGTGTAAAATGAAGTGTATGTGTGTTTGTGGGTTGGTGTGGGGGTATATGTGTATGTGAAATAAGGTGTAAAGTGTTTGTGGGTTGTTGTGTGTGTCGGGGGTGTGTGTACGTGAAATGAAGTGTATGTGTGTTTGTGGATTGGTGGTGTGTGTGTGAGTGTGTGTGTGTGTGTGTATGTGTATGTGTGTATGTGTGCATGTGTGGAGGCCAGAGGTGGACATCGGGTTTCTTCCTCTATTGCTTTCCACATTGTTTTCTTTTTGACAGGGTCTCATTGAACCTAGAGCTTACCACTCTAGCTAGTCTCACTGACTAGCAAGCTCCTGTATTCCCATCATCACCTTCACCAGAGGGAGGTTACAGACACATGCTGTCATGCCTGGCTTTTTATTAGATGTAGAGATCTGAATTCAGGTCCTCATGCGTACACAGCAAGCACTTTATCCACTGAGCCATCTCCCCAGTCCCTCAAAAGTTTCAATAAGCAGGGAAGTTTGGTCTCACCCCCTGTAGACCTCACGACTCAGTATGAAACATGCTGACATCAGCCACACAGGCATTGAGTGATTGATTCTGCCAGATGGAAGACGGGGGTGGATTCTGTTGAGTACTTCTATTGACATAGATGCTTTTAGACATCTCATTCTGATGGATTTATATTCTTCCTTGATGGAAATGATTCAGAATCCTGTAAAATTTCCTCCTGGTTTATGTAACAGTTGGACAACAGAAGTCTCCCTTCCCTCGTCCACCACCAAGGTAACTTGAGAGATGAGACATTGTCACTCTAAGCTCACTTCTAGTGTTCTTAAAAAGAATGTCAGCTTCATGCCCATGTCCCACTCTTCAGGTCTCAGTGCCAACCAACTTATTTTTCTGCCCAAGAAAAACTCACTGTGTTCTATTTTAATGATCTGAGCCACAGTCCATCCCTTTATGGCCCAGATTGTGACTTTGGGTTGCAAATCAACACCATGGCCCTTCCTTCATGCATTTTTGGTGGAGGCTGAGGCATCGGTACAATCCAAGTGGGTCTGAACAAACCTTAAGGCTGGGGGTATGACTCAGTTAATAGAGTGCTTGCCTAGCATTCATAAAGCCCTGGGTTCATGAATCAGCATCAGATGTCATGGTACATGCCTGCAATCCATTCCCAGCATCAGATGTGGTAGTACATGCCTGTAATCCCAGTACTCAGGAGCTGGAAATAGGAGGATCAGAAGTTCCAGGTTAATATCATCTGCTACGTAGCAAGTTCAGATCAGTGTGGGATGTATGAGATCCTGTCTCAAAATGGATAGGGGTTGGGGTGGGTGGAGAGAGAGACAAGAGTGTAGGAAAGAACCTTACTGTAGAACAACGGAGAGTGGAGATTTTATGCTGGGCTCCATTGCACTGGCATGCCCTGTCTGGGATCTCATCTGCACTGAGTCTAGTACCCAGACAATGTTGTTGCAGGCTGTGTGGTATTTGCTGCTGCAATCTGAGGGTTTGTTATCTGACTTGTCTTTGCAGATGACACTGCTAAGATGACATAAGCTCTCCTTAGCATGAGTCACCATTAAAGGGTCTGCTGCCTTGGGTATGTCACAGGCTAGGAATTGTCTCCCTCCATAGCCACGTGGTCCGTGGCCAGTAGCGCATCTGACTGAAGGTCTGACTGCACTAATTTGGTCCCCCAACCACCTCTTTGTCTCCAAAACATGGTCTAGTCAAAACTGCTTGTAAGAGACTGTTTACCTGGTGGTATCTCACCCACACACTCCCCACCCTTCCCTAAATCAGTTCCTAGGTAGATCTAAAATGAAGAAATTATTACCAATGCCAGCTGCTTAAAGTGAAAAACAGGCTTTGGAAACAATTACTTTTGGTTAAAAGAATTTTTTACTCATAAACTGGGGTATATACAGAAAATTAAGGAAACATAATTAAAAAGAAGAAAACAGAAATCGTAGTATCAGAACTTTACTTTTTGACGCAGGGTCCATGTAGCTCAGGCTAGCTCAGACTCTGTATAGCTGAGGATAACCTTAAATTCTTGATGTTCCCATCTCCACCTCCTGAGTGCTGGTATTGCAGGCATGTACCAACATACCCATCTCTGTAGGGTGCTGGGGATTAACCCAAGGCTTTGTGCATGCTAGGTAAACACTCTACCAATTGAGCTATGTCCCAGGGCCCCATTTTGTTTGTTTGTTTTTAAAACAGGGTCTCCTGTATACCAGGTTGGCCTCCAGCACACCATATAGCCAAGAATGACCTTGAACTCCAAATCCTCCTGCTCCCACCATCTGGGTCCTGGGATTATAGGCATGCACCACCACACCAGTTTATGACATCAGGCGTACGCCTTTAATCCCAGCACTCGGGAGGCAGAGGCAGGCGGATCTCTGTCAGTTCAAGGCCAGCCTGGTCTACATAGTGAGTTCCAGGACAGCTGGGGCTACAGGGAGACCCTGTCTAAAAAAGACCAAAAAAAATTATTGTTTTTATTAAATTTTTGTGTATTTCATACAGAACATCTCAATCAGCCTTAATCATCTTTATACCCCTGTCCCCACTGGCACCTCCCTTAGGCCCCCCACTGCAATTCATACATTCTGTCATTTGTGTTAAGGCCTATTGAGGTAATTGCCACATCTAAAAGCAACAGTACCGTGGGGGTCCTCGCACGAGTAGGTGGTTTTCAGATGTTTGTTTCCAGGATTTTTTCTTGTTCATATGAACAGTTCTCCCACAAACTCCTCAGCAACAATCTTTCTGCACATATCTTGGATTTCCCCTGTAGAATAAAGTCCACAAGTAAAAATAGTAGAAAGTATGGTATGCACATTCTTTTACTGCAGGTGCGGGGAGGGTTTCCCTGTAGTCCCAACTGGCCTGGAACTCGCTTAGTAGACCAGGCTGGAGCCTCGATCTCCCAGATCTACCCACCTCTGCCTCTTGAGCGCTGGGATTAAAGCGTGTGCCACCATGCCCAGTTTGTGTACACATTCCTAATACTTCTTGTATTGGTGTGATTGTTGTGTCCTCCAGAACCAGTGTGTTTATCGGCCCCTCCCACAACTAGTGGATGTAGGACCATCTCCACAGACTTAGGCCCTGTTGTGAGTCCATACAGAAATCCTGAGCAATGTCCCACATTTGTGTTGTGTTTTGGCCGCTGCTATTCTAGCCCTTGTAGACTGCGTCTCCCTTTGCCAAACTTCTAATGCTTGACAAAAGACCCGCTTTAATTAACCTTGTTCAGAACCCTAAGCCCTAGAAAGCCTTTCATGAAATACAGGGCTGGAAGGCTCTGGGGTTTTTCTTAATGCCAGTTTTGCTTAATTCCTCTAAGCAAAGGAAGGGATTCAAGAACCCAAAACCTGCAGTTCCCAGCCGGTGTGCCACATGCTATTTAGCCAGTAGAGGGAGCTGTTGTACCAACTAGCTCCCAGTCGGCCTTATGGGTGCCTTCCGCTTTTAAGATAGAAAATAAATCAGTGCAAGCAGTATTTTTAACAACAGTATTTATTTAAAGAAAAAAAAAAAACTCATGATTTTGTGGTTTTAAAAAACTGCTTATTTTGTGTCCTCTTATGTTTGACTATAAAGCCCTCTGAGTATTAGCAAGAGCCAGTATATGAAATTTATTATTAATCATCTATTTTTAGGCATGAAGCTTTGCTGTATTATGTTTTAGCAGCAGAAACTGGAATTGAAGTGTCACAGACAAATTTAGCACACATCTGTGAAGAGCGGCCGGTAAGTAATGTATTCTTTTCCTAGTTCTAGAAGCTCTAAGGTTAAGGATAATGAATTGCGCGTTTTACCAGGACAAAATTAGTCACTGGGCCGAAATATTAATGAATTAACTTTCTCTTCCTTTCTCTCCTAGGACCTGGCCGGGAGATACTTAGATGTTAATTGTGTTTGGAGATACTATAATTTCTCTGTTTTTCAAATCGATGCTCCTTCATTTGGTATGTATAGAAAAACGGGAACTAAACTGAAGCACTGGAGGTTTTAATCTTTAGTAACAGGGACCATCTAACCGCTTGGTATGGAGTGTGATATTTCTAAACATTTAGGGAAGAAAGTGGAAATGTCTGCTATTACGGGCACTGCTAAACAGCTGTCAGTTTCTGCCATACACTTCTCCTCCCAAACCCAACTACTTCTTCCAAGCCAAAGCAACCCCAGTGTGATTTCCTGGGTGGTCATTAGTCTTTGTGCTCTCAGATGGGCTTCTGGTCCCTGGGTTCTGTTCTTTGCATAGGGGCTAGCCTCCAGTAACTACAGTACCCAGACTCCTCTGCCCAGGGGATTCAGATGGACTTCAGCCAATGGAAGATTGCATTGTGGGAAGAAGAGAGGCGCTCTGGTATACCTCCCTTCTCCCTTTGCACCTAACTTCTGGCAGCAGCCCTTCATGTTCCCGCCCCTATATTGAACTCTGTCCCCCTTTGGCTTCAATTCTCATGGGACCAAGAGGCCCAGGCAGTATCCCATCCATCCTCTGATACCACACTCCCCAACTCTAAGCATGACATTCTCTTCCTTAATGCTGACCCCTGCGCTGTTTACTGTTTTCCATTTATACTCTGATTTACTTTATTTTATTTTATTTTTATGTGTATGAGTGTTATGCCTGTATGTATGTAAATGCGCCTGTGTCATGTGGTGCCTACATAGGTCAGAAGAGAACATTGGATCCCCTGGAACTGGAGTTATAAATGGTTGTTAACCACCATGTGGATGCTGGGATTTGAACTCAGGTTTTCTGCAAGAGAAGCCAGTGCTCTTAACCACTGAGCCATCTCTTTGCACTCCATTTAGCTTTTAACACTAGCACCCATTTCCCCATGGTGAAAGCCCTCTGTGCAGCCACCAGAAATGGATTCTCTTTGTCTGATTGAACGTTGACTAATAGCTAAACTGTAAATTAAATACATGGGGGAAACAAAGTTAGAAAGATGCAGGACACATGAAGGACAGGCAGCCATACTGCTGCCGTGACATAGAGCCAGGGACAGCTTCAACTGATGGGCTGTATGCCCATGGAGAGAGATTCTCTCAAGCGGAGCTGATCAGGGAAACAAGCTGACCAGGGAAACAAGCCGTATCCAGAGATGGAAGTGCCCTGGGCCTAAAGCCTTCCACCCACCCACGAAAACAAAGATGTTCTATAAACATACTGTAATAGGAAACACTCCAAAGAGTGGCCAGTGACTTAGCATGTTGGTCTTTCGACCCATGGCCCATGGGTCACATGTGGCCCAAGATAGCAAGATAGCAACAAATACAGCCCAAATCATAAACTTACATAAAATATCATGAGGGAGGACTTTTCTTTTCTTTTTGTTTTTCTTTTTTGGAAAGGGATGTGACTTAGTTCCATGGTTCTTAAGTATGAACTTTGTAGACATCATGGCAACACAAGGTCATGCAAAATAAGCCCATTTGTGGCTGTACCACCAATGGACTGCAGGTTAAAGTACCCCTGGAGGGGCTGGAGAGGTGGCTCAGTGATTAAGAGCACTGGCAAGTGCTCACATGGTGGCTCACAATCATCCATAACTCCAGTTCCAGGGAATCTGATGCCTCTCCTACACAGGTGCACTTACATACATGCAGGAAAATGCATTCATACACATAAAATAATAAATAAGATATTTTTAAAGCATCCCTGGATATGAAAGCCCTTAGCAAGTGGATATACATTTTGTATTATGCAGCATATTTGAAGATGGGAGACCTTTATTACTATGGCCACCAAAACCAGTCCCAAGACCTTGAGCTGTCTGTACAGATGTATGCCCAAGCAGCCCTGGATGGAGACTCTCAGGTAAGCACTCGAGCTGAGGCCCAGGGACTGACTGCCTCTCTTGCAGCTTCAGCAGCATGGCTCACCATCACTGTCCTTCATGGCCACATACGTTCTGATGGTTCTGGGAGGGAAAGAGCCCTGTGGCCCACCTTGACCGAGCACTGACTATTCCCACACCATTCTTGCACCAATTCCCCACGGCCAGAATTTTCATACTCACTTTCTACCCAGAGACACACCAAAGGCAATGAATTGTTCAAGGCCAAATAACTGAGAGTAAACAAAGCCCAAGTCTGGGTCGTTGGTGGAAACCTATGACCTAAAGGTATTCCTGTCAGATCCTGAGAAACTAACGCACAAGGTAGAGACTCAAGGGCCTGGAGCTGTGGCCACAGGAGGAAGCAGTTTGCACATACACTTGAGCCAAGACTTGAGTGTCAAGACTTGATCCTCAGTGACCTTTTCAGATATTTATTTGGCAATAATTTCAGGCTTACAGAAAAGTTGTAAAAAGAACCCAGAGAGTTCACTTAGCTTCTTCGAACATTAATCTCGTCTACAACCACATACCATGAAGGAGTTAACACTGGGCAGTAGCATTACCTACACTTGAGACTTTATTTGGATTCCACCAGTTATTCCACAAGTTCTTCTCTTCTGTTCTAGAATCCCACATGATATTCAGTGCTCATCTTTCTTTCCAGACTTCTCCAGTCTGTGACAGTTCCTCAGTCATTCTTCATCTTCATGACCTTGAATTTCTAAGGAATACTGATGAGGTGTTTTGTAGAACATCCCTCTATTTGAGTCTGTCTTTTGTTCTTGCATGAATACATTCAGGCTATGTATTTGAGATAAGAATACTATGAATGTACTGAGCATAGTGGTGTATACCTATAATCTCAGTGCTTAAGAGGCAGAGGCCGGGGAATTGTGAGTTTCAGACCATTCTAGGCTACACAGGGAGACCCTGCCTCAAAGGGAAGGTGATGGTATTACAGAAGTGATGTACATCCTAGATGGGATACATGAGGTAGGACTGTCAAATCACTGGTGGGCTTATTTTAGTTATCTGGTGAAGGCCATGTATTAGTTACTTTTCTGTTGCTGTAATAAAATACCCTAACAAAAACAACTTAAAGGAAAGGCAGTTTGTTTGGGCTCACAGTTCTGGAGGGATACATACAGTCTATCATGGCTGGGAAGACATGGCAGTAGGTAGGGGAGGCATGCTGGGGAAGCAGGAAAGTGGCTGGTCACAGTGCATCCCACACTCAGGAAGCAGAGAGTGAACAGAAAGTGCCTCGGGCTGTAGAGTAGCAAGTCCCACTCCCAGTGGCCACTTCCTCCAGTGAAGTTCCACTTCCTATAGGTTCTATAACCTTCCAAACAATGCCACCAAGTAGCTGGGGACCAAGTGTTCAAACATGTGAGTCTATGGGGAGACATTTCACATTCATGGGTGGTTTCTATAAAGTTGGTATCTTTCCATTTTATATATCTAGTGGAGGTAGTTTGAAACTATGCAAATATTTTGCTTCTTTGCAAAAGTTTTCCCAGGAAATTTTGTAGATTTCATCTGCAACAATTACTTGCATCATGTTCTAATGTTAAGTCTTCCTGCAACCCTCATGGTTTCCTTTGAACTGTGAGAGGATCTCAGGTTCTTTTTCATGATGGAGGTTGGAACAGTTGTTACCTCCTCAGTGAGTGGCTAGCATTGAACTCTGGAATCTGATCACAGAGCAAAGTTGGAGTCTCACCCCTACCTCAGCCTTTGCTTGTTTCGTGGAGGAATTACATCAGTAGCGTTGTATACCTGAGTTAAAATCCCATGTCTCTCCCATTCACAGCTTCTTATACATGACACATCACTAAATCCCCATGTCTGTGTTTTCTCAGTTGTCAGCCAGAGCCAATCTGCCATGGGACGTGTAAATTGAAGGCGATGCTTGGTATAAATCTCTGAACCCAATGCCAAGTAAACTCAATGAACATGATCTACCCTATTGTTAATTCTCCTAGAATGAAGTAGAGTTGCTGCTAAAGTGATTTGCTGAAGAAATCATCTCCCTTGGATGTCTGCTATCATTTAAAATGAGGCCCGAATAATTTGGTTTTTAATTTTTGTTATTTATTTATTTAAAAAAATGATGTTATAAAAACAATGTATCTATGATTCCATGGCAGGGCCTCATCCTCTTTCTCCTCCTCCTCCTCTTCCTCCTCCTCCTCCTCCTTTTTAACACATCTATTTTTTGGGAGGATGTGTGAGTGCCTCAGCATACATGTGGAGGTCAGAGGACAACTCACTTGTGAGAGTCGGTTCTCTCTTCCACCATGTGATCCTAGGAATTGAACTCAGGTCATTGGGCTTAGAGGCAAGCAATTTACCCACTGAACCATCTCTCCAGCTCAGGGCTTTTCACCTCTTCCTAATGCTTTCATATTCCATTCCAGTCCCTGCCCACGAGCTTCTGTCTGTAACGTCAGCCCCAGTGTGCATGCCACCTTGAAAACCTGTCTTCTCACTCAAGTGGAACACTGTGCACATTTTAGTACATAGTCCCTTTCATCGGAGGCATCCACGAATGCTTATTCTTTTGTTTGCCAACTTACTTATTGATTCAACATGTGTTTATCCAGTCCTACTGTGTCATAGACAGCGTTCAGGGTGCAAACATAGAGTGAAATAACCACTCTTTTGAACTTTGCAGGATTTATAGTCTCCGAGGGAGGATCTGGAGAGTGTTTCCCCTTGTGCTGTAATTAACACTTCAGCATTTCCTTCTTTCCTCCTTATTCAAATACTTCGGTTGTTTTCTGAGAGGACGTATTACTGAGTCAGACTCTCAATAGGTTTACGACTATGTGACAGTGTATTGCCGTTCCATTTTCTGGGAGAATTTTCCAGTCATTGTCTCAGTGAGCAGAGGAAAAGGAGAACAGAAGCCTTGTCAATACAATGATTTAATTCTGCTAACTGAGTAACTGTGGGCTGATATGTTCTTATTGCTTTTATGCAGTTACTAGTAAGGAGAAATACTTTGATCTATGCTTCTCGATGATTCAGTCATCTTCATTCTTCATGTGACTCCTGTATTCTTCTTTGCCTGTTTACCTGTCAGAGATTTGATACTTTTTTTTATTCAAGTCATAATTAGTTCTTTATCCATTTGCCTACTTGATAATGAACTTTAAGCCATTGTGCTGCGTACAGACATCCCCATCACCCATCTACCCACTTCTTTTGATCCTATTTTCCCAGTGATGAAAATCTTTACCATTTTATAAAGTTTTTCTCTTTGCCTTTCCTTCAAAAGGAAGAGGAATATTCTATGTTCTGCCGCTGCGTGTGTGCATGTGTACATGTGTATACATGTGTCTTAAGGATAATTCCTGCTCTACTGAAAGACTTTTGGGCAGCATGGCGGAGGTTGTGTGGAGACTCTGGACCCTGCCTGCTTACATGTGAATCCCAGCTCTGCCACTTTCCAGCTGGGTAACCTTGGGCACATTCCTTAACTGCTCTGTGCTTCAGTTTCTCAATCGGCAAAATAAAGACACTAGTACCAATACTGGTTCTTTGTTATGCCCATGAAGCAGAATACTGCCCCACATACAGCAAGTCTTCAAAAGAAGGTGGAAGTCAAGGTTGAGGGAGGATGTGAGCTATTAAAACATGACCATGAGTTCATGCACATCAAATAAATTTGAAAAAAAAATGTTGCTTGAGTGGTTTGCTGTGCACTTCAGGTGACCTCAACTGACCTTTCTTTACCCTTAGGTTTGAACCCCAAGGATTACCGATCCCTGAAAACACAGTATCTGCAGGTAAGGCTGGAGGATTTTAATTTTTTTTTTTTTTTTTGAGACAGTGTCTCCCTCTAGCCTCAACTGGCCTGGAACTCACTATGTAGACAAGGCTGGCCTTGAACTCACGGAAATCCGCCTGCCTCTGCCTCCCAAGTGCTGGGATTAAAGGTGTGTGCCACCACGCCCGGCAACCATGAGTTCTTTAAAAGACAGTACCCATTTTCCTTTGTGAATCTCCAGGGGTAAGTACCACTTCACTTTTGGGGAGCATCCTGGTCAGCTCACATGCCCTCATGCTGGAGGGGCCATTTCTCATGCTAGTATGATGGTGTCTGTCCTGAGACATACCTCCATGGTCAGGCTCTCAAATGGCATTCTGTTATTGGACCCACACAGTGCAATAGGTAGCTCCTGTTCTCAGGGTCAAAAGCAGGCACAGAAGAAAGAGATAGAAAAATGTTCTATAGCAGAGATTCATACCACGAAGAATTATAGAGGCTTTCCACATTGGCCTAGGGCATCTCAGACATGCACCCATATGTTTTTCTGTATTTTGTCAAGTGTCCGACAGGTTGACAGTGACTTGGGGCACAGTCCTTAAGCAATAGACACTGCTTTGGATTTGGCGTTCTAGCTTTGTTGACAACGCAAAGATGTGTTTTCCCAAGTTCTCTGTAGGAGCAGGAGTGGGGAAGGGTGGCTTGCTTGCCTGGCGCCTTAGCAGATGGGCTGCCGACTTCTTTGAAAACCTCCTCACTTTCCTACAAATAAATTTCTCAGATGCATATATTTAGAGGAACAATCCATCAATGAAGAGGCCAAAACCATCTGTCTCTAGGGAGTGCAAAAAAAAATTTAGAGGTTGTAAAAGTTTGCATTGTGATGAAAGGCATGTGTGTCTGGGTGTTATTCTGACAAGTTGATGAGTTTGGCATGTGATTTGTCTTTAGGGATTTTTCAACCTGGCTCTGCTGATAGAAGAAGGTGCTAGAATCCCACGCCACATTCTGGAGTTCCTGGAAATTGACCCAACTCTTCATCCCAGCAACACCTCCATACTCCGAGAGCTGTATGAAAGGTTGGCTCGGAGATGTTCTGATTCCGTGAAGACTGGGAGACCCAACTGGGTGGTGTTTGGGCCTTGGTTCAAGTTGGTGTCACACTGATTTTGTGTTGTCAAGTGTTAGCAAAGGTCCTCAGGATTTACTTCCGTTAGACAGCACTCAACCAAACCCAGATCTGTTTCCCTTTCTGGGGAAAAGGGAATGACTCAGACATATTCTAGAATGTGCTTGACTTGAAGTTCAAGTGCTGATCAAGATTTTCCATGAGTGTAAAAAGATCACATACCCGATTAGCTCAGTTTTCTGGGAAATAGGGAGGGACCTCCCTGAACCTGGACTTTGGAATCACTCAGAAACAGTGTTCAGGCATACCCGGTACTCAGGGTCTTCCTTAGGAATGTGGGACACTAGTGAGTTTTCCAGGGATTTCTGCTAGGATCTCAGAATAACAGTCAAGCCCAAAGCACTTAGAACTGGCTTCATTCTCTGCCTCTATATGAGGGACTTTGTCTACGTAAAAGCAAGCAAGTGTGGATCTGAGGGACTGAAAGGCAAGTCATGGTGGGTGCCACCAAAGCCAGACTATGCACTCAGGTACCCTGGGTTTTGTCTGCAGGTGCTGGAGTCACAGTAATGAAGAGACCCTGAGCCCCTGCTCCCTGGCCTGGCTTTACCTGCACCTGCGGCTAATCTGGGGCACTGTCCTGCACTCTGCCCTGGTAGGTATCGTCCTGAGGCCTGCCCCTGAGGCCCTCCCCTTCATCAATCATCTGACACGTGCCCTGATATCTACAGATATACTTTCTGGGAACCTTTCTGCTGTCCGTGTCGATCGCCTGGATGGTACAGCATTTCCATTCTGTCTCAGGTAAAGCATCTGTAAAGCCAAGGCAGGGGAAAGGCAGATGTTCTTTATCCCTTCTTCCAGTGAGTGGCACACCCTGTCCTCACATCCTTGGTCATGCTTCCTTTCTTTGACCTGGTCCTGCACAGTACTAGGGGAGGTGGTCTTCACGATGTATTACAATGCCTGGTTGTCAGGAATTCCCAAAGTAAAGGGTTGCTTGCCCCACCCCCTTTTGTTTGTTTTGGAAAAGCTTAAGAAATTGAACTAACATATTTTCTTTCTCCTGATGAAAATACATCACCTACCCAAATTCTCCCTGGATGTGCTTGAAAAGCCCATTTCAAACCCAGCTCCTGCATGAAGCATTCCCATTCATTCCAGCCAAGCAGTCAAGGCTGTGAGAGGACAGAGTAACACCGACAGTGAATAAGCATATCTAACCATGTGACTCAGAGGGAGAGATCAGGAAGCCTTCATCCACCTTGGTGTTTGCCAGACAAAATTATTTTTCCAAGCTACCAGAAGGGGTAGTTAAAGGGATGAGCAGTCCCGTCACTCCTGTTTGGGCTTAGAGCCCAGACTTGGCTACTTATTAACTGTGTGACTTAGGGCGAGTTCCCCAACTTTTTTTTTTAATGTGTATGTGTGTAATTGCCTGCATGTAGGTAAGTGCATGTAGGTAAGTGTCCTGCCTGCAGAGGACAGAAGAGGCTGTTGGATCCCCCGGAACTAGAGTTAGGGACAGTTGTTAGCTGCCATGTGGGTGCTGGGATTTGAACCTGGGTCTTCTGCAAGAACAGTCAGTGTTCTTATCCGCTGAGCCATCTCTCTAGCCCCAAGTTCCCCAGTTTTTCTGATCTCCCAGTTTCTCATTCATCAAATGAAAGTTGAACAGATAGCTCCCCCAGTATATGAAATAAGCGGGCAGTGAAAAAATTGAATACAGGATGCTATCACAATGGGAACTGGAGTTAAATGTTAGCTGCTATACTTAACTGGTATATAAAGCCTTCTCAGTAAATGTTAACGATTTTATCTTCCCAGAGTTAGAGAATGACCTTAGCCTATCATTTGTATTAATAACTCACACTAGTGGCTCAAATCTACAAGCATCTCTTGGTAGAAAGTGACAGATTTCCACCATCATGGATGGCAAGAAGAGGATGATAGCTCAAAAAGACCAACAGAGACACAATGAGGAAATTAGGGGCTGGCTACCATCAGAGCATTTACAGCCCATTATTGTATAGCAGATAATGAAACGTGAAAGGCATCTGCCTCCCTTTCTTTCCTTCAGTGAGGAGTTGCTTTCTGAGAGGCAAGTGCAGGGCTGTGTCCCTCGAATTTACCTGAGGAGGCTCAGGTGCCCTCCACAGCCCTTCCAGGCTGGGGGCCCCATCTTCTACCTAAGCGTAAATCTCCCTCTGGTACATTCTGTCCTGTCCCTGAATTGTTGCCAGGTACAGCACATTTATTTTGCATCTTGTCAGTGTTTTCCATTTCAAATTATCTTTGTCATTTTTACTCTGTGGAAATATTGTTATGATTATTATGATTGCAGTTCTGTTAGAGGTGCTGAAAATTGCCTTGATAGTCTGATGCCAGCTGGTAGCCATGAAAATTCATGGGCGGGTGGAAGAGCCTGTATCAGAAGTTAGCTTCTTCCTGTCTTCAGGTCTTCATCATTGGCCCCTTGGCACCCTTGCTTCCCTGTCCCCGGCCCTTTCCTGTGCATTGCCCTTTTCTGTCTCTCTTTGGTTCATTCTGCTACTCATTCTTCCTCACTTTTCCAACTTTCATTCATGTTTCCTCGCGTATTCCTCCTTCCTGTTGACAACCTACAGACAGTTATGTCTGAATAAGATCTTAAAAATAACTTAATTCTATGATCTTCACATCAAAGATGAGGGAACTGAAGCCAGAGAGGTGAAGTGACCTGCTCAACTAAGGAAATAAAGCCAAGAGTGATCTAGGTGTAGAATTTCAGACTTTCTTTGAAAACCCCAGTGCTTTAAAAATGTTGTGGACTATCTCAAGCCTGTTATTCCTTCATCATGGGATATTTCATAATAGGTTTTAGTACCTTGGAATGAAATTTATAATCATTGACCCATCCACACACATTTGCCTTAAAAGCAATATAAAAGATAAGTTAAAAAAAAAACAAATTAGTTTGTTTCCATATGCAAATCTAGTCCAGTGCTTCTTAATTTCAATGTGCACATGAATCATGCCGTGATCATATGCAAGGCAGATTCTGATGCGGTGGGTCTGGATTGGACATCTCTAGTGAGCCCCTGGATCAAGCCCACACTCCCATTCTGAAGGACATTCTTAGACCAGTAACAGAAGAAATACAAAGGCAAAGCTCACACAGTGACAGTGTTCTTCCCTCACAGCAGTACTGACAGCCCTATTAGAACCCATTTTGAGTGTTGAAGCAGACCCTCCATTCCTCTCCCAGTTTCTAAAGTCCTTTTCTAGAATGCAAATGTGCCAGTCATTTTGAAATAAGATGGGTTAACAGAGAGCAGGCAGCTGAGGGTGATGGGCAGGTGGCAGGGGCACCTATGAGTGGGCTGCCCACTGCTCTCTCCCTGGTTATCTAATGATGCCCCTTTCCTGCACTATGGGAACTAGCGGGACAGTGGCAGATACTTGTGACTTCCGAGGACTGTGAAACAAGCCCGGTAATGAACTCTAGGTGCTGGTCAATAGTATGTAAAGAAGGCATGGTCTTGAGAGCTGGGAGCCTCCTCCAAGCAGCTTGTATGGTTGTACTTTCTTCAGATCAGTTGTCTATTTGTTGTTGCTGTTGTTGTTTTCTTTCCTTCTTTCTTTCTTTCTTTCTTTCTTTCTTTCTTTCTTTCTTTCTTTCTTTCTTTCTTTCCTTCCTAGAGCTTACTATGTAGCTCAAGCTGGCCTTGAATTACCTAATCCTCCTGTTCTTTCTTTCTTTCTTTCTTCTTTCTTTTCTGAGACAGGGTCTCCCTGTAGCCCTAACTGGCCTGGAACTCACTATGTAGACCAGACTGGCCTCCATCTCACAGAGATCCGCCTGCTTCTGCCTCCTGAGTGCTGGGATTAAAGACATATGTCACCACACCTGGCTAATCAATCAACTGTTTTTAAAAATAATGACTTATTATTGATAAGTCTCTCAGGTGAGCTGCTCATATCCTTTACCCGACAGTATTGAGCAAGGAGAAGCCTATCTGTGCCTCAGTTTTCCTCGTTAAAATGGTGGAAATAGTAGCAAGCCTGCCTCTTGCTGTATTTGAAAGAACCAAATGAGATGGCCTGGTGTGCAGGGCTCAGAACTCTTTGAAGATAAGTTGCCAAAGAGTACTGTCCCTGGGGGCATTTTACCTGTAATTAAAGAATCCTGCCACCAGGTGGAGACTGCACTTAATAGCGTGATGTACCTCAGTAGCAGGTAACCAGAGCCCTAGCATGCTTTTCTATTCTGTCTGATTCTCTAAAGCTCAAGAGTCTTCAAAAGCATTCCATCAGAAATGTTAGCTAATCCATCACAAAACCAAGATAAGGTAGAAGTATTGCACACCTCTTACTGCCTTCGAGGAAATTTGCTTTTGGTTCCTGGCTTGCCTTGGGCCAGGTGTCTCCATCTTTCATGAGACAAGTGCTTCCCAGGGTAGGACAAGGTCCCAGGATCTTGGGTATTCTTGAGGCATCTTGGTTGTCACCTGTGAGCAGAACCCATACTGCCCTAGACCTACTTTGTTGCTCCAGGTCTGTGGGATTTGCAACTCGTGGGTCACCCAGCAGCTTGAGTATCTTTGCTTAACTGTGGTAGCACAGTTAGCATCCTTACCCCCAATCTCCATGACTCATGTTGTTGGAGGAGAAAGGAGGGGGCCCTTTGTTTAAAAAAAAATCCACAGATGGTTCAGCCCCTCTCTCAGACTCCAGAAAGAGCTTTCTTTTCCTGCCTCACTGTGTCTCAAAAGCACTCGCTCTCCCTCCCTGCCAAGGACACCAAGCATAATTACCTTAATGGAGCAGCCCTTTTGAAAACCAAAATATCCCAGAGTAAAGTGAGTGCAGAGCCTGGTCCACCTGTGCCTGCCACAAACCTCCTTCAACAAAAAGCCTGGAGCCTGGCTGGGTGCCTAAGGGGAGGTAGAAGAGTGGAGGGAGAAAACAGAAGCTCCATTTCAAAGGAAGAGTCCTGCTTGCAGTGGATGAGCATCCCTAACTTGAAAACTGAATCAGAAAGACTCCAAAATCCTAAGCATCCAGACTCTGCAACTTTTGAGTACTAGCAGGAGGAAAATTCCACATCTGACCTCTGGTGACAAGTTGCAGTCAAAGCACAGGCTGTGTTTAAGGTGTGTATATGAAACATAACTGAACTTCACATTTAGACTTGAGTTGTCCACAAGACACATCATCTATTCTAACCCTCTGGTTAGAATATGCACTCGAAACCCTCTGGTCTCTGTCATTTCAGGGCAGAAATACTCCACCTGCAATACAACTGCAAGCTTGATACATAAAGAATTTAGAACAAGGTTTACAGAGCTTCTGATTCCTAGAGATGAGTAGGTAGCCTAAACTGGTTCCAGCCTGCTCACTGTACTGACCATTGAAGCTGACTCATCTTCTTGGGCTGTGGTTAGCCTGGATTCTTTTCAAAAGCATAAGATGATACAAGCAAGATTAATTAAACCTTTCCCTGTTTTGTTCCTGTCCCCTGCATTTCCAGCTAATGAGGTGTCTGCTAAAAGCACAGTGAAATGTCAACGCTCATGAAGAAAGCGGTGACCTTGGAGTCAGAGATTCCACAGTGAGGTGTCTTTCCAGGCTTACCTACCCCATTACCCTTGGCATCCACGGGTACCTGCACTCAGAACACTGACCCCAGATCTCATACCTGTGCTGGGCTCTGCTCGCTCCTGGGTTCTAACTTACACTTAGTGTGAGATTCCCAAGGCTGCCTCCTTGCCCCCTTTTCTTGCCAGCGGCCTGCCATTTCAATGTGCTCTCTCAGATTCTTTGCTGATACCTACATCTGGTCAGCTGGTAGCCAAATATAAGAAGCAGTGACCTACAACAGGGGTCAGAACCTTTTCTATTTTATTTTTTGGTAGAGTGTCTCACATAACATAGGCTAGTCTCAAACTTGCCATGTAACAGAGGGATGACCTTGAACGTCTATCTTCCTGCCTCTGCCTTCCAAGTTCTAGGATTACAGGCCTCCATGACCACACCCAGTTTACACAGTGCTAGGAATAGAACCTGGGGCTTCATGCATATTAAGTAAGCACTCTACCAGCTGACCTATACCCCTGGCACCACATTTTCCAGTCAAGGGTTAGATAATAAACACTCTGGGCTTTTCTAGTCTGTCCCAGGAGCTCAAAAGCAGCCATTATGGCTGGACTTCCAATAGTGTGAAAACCATTCTTAGATGGCGAGCCATACAAAAACAGACAGTGGCTGCCTTCGGCTCTGGGTCCTTGGTGTGTGCCAGCTCCTGATTATGTTCTTTAATAATGTACAGAAACCGATCCCCAGCCGGCAAGTAATCCACAAATCACTTTCCTTCGGCTCTGGAGTGTACTCTATAATTTTTTAAAGCAGCATGCTGATTTTCCTGGTTACCTTGATTCTAGCCCAATAATAAAATTAGCATGCATTCCAGGTGAGCCATGACAAAGGGGCCACTTTAAAATTAGGACAGGCTAGGGGTTGGGGGGTCATGCAGTGATTGAGTCCCCCATGGAAGTGAGAGAGTTCTTGTACAGATAACAACAAACTTGCAGAGGAAACATCCAGAGTTTTTTATTGTGTGCTTCCTGAGGTTTAAATAGTGTCAGTGCTAATTAGCAATTCTGTCAACATTTACACATTGGCATTTTTTGTTTTATTCAGAAAACCCATTGCTGATTTATCTTGTTACCATGGCAACTTAAACATTCCCTAAGCTTGAAAGCCTATGTCTTAGTGTTGTATTAACTTCCATAGAGATTGTGGGAAAGGCAGATCCTAGGGCCATAGGGGATCCAGGCACCATCTAGCTGAAGCCCCTCTGTTCACAGGGGAGGAAACTGAGGCACAAGGGATTCTACACTTTGAGACTGAAACATTCAAGGGTCAGAATCTAACTCAAGGTTAGTTAGTAATAGATAAATAAGACTTGCCTAGACCTAGCCTCTTGACTGCAGTGCAGTGAGTGGTCTTTGTGCCTCACCACTGGGCCTTTCTCTAAATCACCAGCCAAAATGATAGTCTGAACAACCCTAGTAAGGTCCCATCATGCCACACCCTGGGCTCTCCACTGTCCCTACATTGCCTTGTTTTTTAGAACAGTCTCTGAGTCCACATCTCTGTACACGTTAGAAAAGTCCCTAAGGAAAATTCCTGTGCATAGGCCAGAAAGCCAACCTGTTTGGATGCCCAAGCCCCAACCTTCTGCAATGGCCCTTGGGTGTGACCGTGGCTACTTAGAGATGGCACTCATGGAGAGTCAGATTTTCATCATGTGGTGGCCTCTTCATAAAGTGCATACATTTCAGAATGGACTAGTGAGATGGTGTATTAGATAAAGATGCTTTCCACCAAGCCGGATGACCTAAGTTAGATCTCAGAGCCCATATGGTGGAAAGAAAGAATTGATTCCCCCAAGTTTTCCTCTGACCTCCACTCATGTGCCATGGTGCACACACACACACACGCACACACACACGTACACACATGCATGCACACACACACTAAACAAACAAAAGCAAAAACATTTTAAATAAATTAAATGGTCCCACTTACTACCAACTATGTGGGACTTAAATATTGTCCAGCTTAATTAAAATCCTTGCTTAAAGGCAAACTGATCCATGTTTACACAGAACTCCGTCACTGAGCTAACCATACATCACAGAGCTCTGTAAATTTTCACCCCCATTTTATAGATAACGAGACTAAGGAGTAGTTAAGTGCCAGATAGAGCCTAGTCGGCTGGTAAACATCAGTGTCAATCAAATTTGGTCTTTCTAACTTTGAAGTTCATGCTGATTTTGTAGGCTTCCGGGTCGTCAAAGAGGAGTCAGACACCCTCCAAACAAATCCCCAACTCTTTTGTCAGTCCGATAAGCCATGCACCTGAAATGAACAAATCTTAACACATTTCCCCAGTAACCCAGCTAACATTTGTCATCTACTTATTTGTGCCAGACACTATTGTAAGCATTTTATGTGCACTATCTCATTTAACCCTTGGAACAATTCAGTGAGGTAGAGATATGTCTATTTTCTCCATTTTTGGGAGACAGGGCTCATGCATAACTTGCCCCAAATCACACAGCTGTCAGACCAGACAAGTAGAGTTATTTAGGGTACTCTGGGGTCTTAGTATATAAAGCAGGCTTTACCAGCTCCAGCGTAGTTGATAGTTGGAGGTGGCCACTCAATTGCTGTGGGACTGTCGAATGCAGTTCAGGAGGCTTAGTGGCATCCCTGGCCTCTTCTCACCCCGTGCCAGCATCTCACTCCCACCCCTGGGTGGATATGACAGCTGGAATTGTCTTCAGACAGTACCACTGCCCTTTGGGAGGCCAAAAACACTCCCATTTCAAAACTCCTGACATAAACTTTAAAGTTATAAACTGGAAGCTCCTCTAAAATTGGGAGTGATCACCCTCTTTACTAAAGATAGATTGATAAATAGTTAAGCTTAATTGTGTGGAAAACACAGTCATCTTGTTTTCTACCCCTTATGCACATTTATTTAAATGGAAACTGAGTTTGGCACACCATCCAAATGGAATGGAATGGGAATCAAACCAGTATTCCTCTAATTAGTTGGTATGATTTGTGGCCTGTGTTGTCTTGACATCATGAGAATAGCTATTTTATAGAAGGGAAAACCAAAGTCCAAGGAATGAAGACAATGGGTTCAAGGCTACCTGTCTACCTAGAGTCAAGACCACCAGCCAAGGAGCATCCTTCCTGCTTGCCTGGTGGGGCTGGACATGGGCATCCTGCACGGATGACTTTCAACATTCAGCTCTGTTTGTATGTGTCTCTGCAGCCAGTGGCTCCCCTCCAGCACCAGCCTGGGTCTCGCCAGACCCTACCTCATCCGCCGCAAGTCCAGCTATACTTCCGGCTACAGATGCTTCTGATCACGACCAGCCCACAGTGGCTAACAACCTTGAGCCTAGTGGGTGAACAGTGCATTCTGGGTCTCTCCAGCTGAGAGACAATCCTTTCAACAGCTGGCTTGAGAATGCTGGGGCCAGGGCATTGTACTGATAAATACTTTAAAAGTCTTGTGAACTGGATGCAGATTTTGCACTTGGTGTCTCTTTTGTTTTTAAATAAGGACATGCTCAGAGCAGACTATGGTTATAGCAAAGGCTATCAAAGAAATCCAAGGAACACCTTGATGAGAGAGGCATGTGGGGAGGTGAGTTACTTTGGGAGCGGTAGTCTGCTTTGTGACATATTCTCACCAGAGGAGAGGGATTTTCAAGTCTTAGTCCTTTGTTCATTCCCTTTTATTAAAGAACAGATGATTGTGACTTCTCCACAGGGTTGATGATGTTTCAGATGAGATTGATGATCAGATTGTTGATGTTTCCTGCTCCTGAAAGTCCAATTGACACATTGCTCTTTTAGTTACAAACCCAGCAGCTAGAAAGTACCTTCGAACAAAAACAAACAAAAAACAGTGTAAGCAGAGCAGTCACTGGCTTTTTGTACATTGGTTTACATTTTTCTCCTTGGATTTTTCTAGAGTTGTAGTGCTTCCAAATCATTTGATGACATTGTTGGGTATCTTCTATGTTTCAATCACAGTTCATACAATAACATCTAGAAAAGCCTTAGTATTTAAGTGTAGTCTTCTCCATGAATCACCCATTAGAATAGACTGGCAGCAATGGGACATGCAGAAAAAAAGCCTTTAGCTCATAGTCTCTACCATATCCCAACCCTTATGCCTGCCTGTGTCTGTATAGTAGTGTGTGTGTGTGTGTGTGTGTGTGTGTGTGTGTGTGTGCTGTGTAAGACGGTCAAGAAGAGCAGAATGTCTGTATACTGTATGCTGCTAGGGTAGTAAATAAATCAGTAATGCAATATTGTGGGTCCAAACTACTCTTTGCACTACTTTATTTACAATAGAAAATAAAATTATTTTTATACAGTTGACTACCAGGGAGTGGCTTCTTTTCTTTTTTCCTTGTTACTGTGGTCTTTATACAAAGTACATTCTCCTTAGGATCCAAAAGAGAACTTCACATGAAAAGGCTTGTTCCTGGTAACCATTAGCCTCTGTGGAGATGAAAGTGGCAGAATCCTGAGCTCAGGGTCTGGCCTGTGATGTTTGGCAACCTCAGACATTGTGTTGGGGCTTCTGCACTGAAGGGAGGCTTTACACTATAATTCTGAGTTAAGTCCACAATGCACCCTCTTCTGTGTATGTTGCTTTTATTTGAGTGAAATTATTGGGCCTATTTTCAAGAGTCAGACTTTGGGGTCTAACAGGCCTGGTTTGGTAACTTACAGGGTCAGTAGTGTTGGGATTAACTCTCTCTGGGCTACAGATTCCTGTGCTATAAAACAAGGATAAGAAAAATCTACCTCTTGGACTTCTCATGAGGCTGAAATGACATATGTGTGTAGAGCCCACAAGACAGTGCCCTGAGGATGGCTGGCTATTCGTTCTGTGAGGAAGAGAAACATGAGACCAATTGAGACAACTCAGCAGGTAAAAGTACTTGCCACCAAGCCTGACATGACACAAGTTTGATCCCCAGGACCAATATGGTGGGAAGAGAGAACCAATTTTACAAAGTTGTTCTCTGACTGCTATACCCATGCCATGGCATGAGTGCACACACATGCTTTCACACATACACTTGTACACACCTACAAAATAAATAAATATAATTAAAATTGTTTTTTTTTTTTAAGGAAGAACCATCCAAGGGGCTAGACAGTGGACTCTGCCCAGACCTCTTGGGGGTCAAGCACACCACTTGGGGTCTTGGGCTGCTGACAGGTTATAACTACACCCTGACTGGAAATCGCCCTCAGCTGTGGGGACCTGCCCAAGGTCATGCCTTTGAAGAGTATCCCATGTTCAATTGCTCATTGGCACAGGAGCAGTTTCTTAGATATACCATATTCATGGATTAAAAGACCATGCATCCCAATTTATAAAACCCAGCATGATGGCCAGTAGGATAGTTAAGCAGGTAAAAGCACTTACCACCAAGCCTGATGATCTGAGTTAATTCCCAGGACCCACATGGTGGAAAGAGAGAACTAACTCCCGCAAGTTGTCCTCTGACCTCCACACATGAGTCTTGTTACATGTGCATTCGTGTACACACACACACACACACAAAAAAAAAAACCACACATACACATGCAAGCACACATACACACAGTAAATAAAATGTAATTTTTTAAGACCCAACAAGATTTTTTTTGGTAGAAATTACCACCCTGATTCTAAAATTTATATATTGAAAAGCAAAGAACCAAGGGTAGCTAAAACAATGTTGCCAGAGTCTGGGGAAGGACCACAAAGTTAGAAAAACTAACACTACTTGACTTCAAGAGTTACTACTATAGGGGCTGAAGAGATGGCTCAGTGGTTAAGAGCACTGGCTGCTCTTGCAGAGGACCCAGTTTCGATGCCCAGCACACATAGTGGCTAACAACCATCTGTAACTCCAGTTCCAGGGGATTCTGATACCCTCTTCTGACCTCCATGGGCATTGCATGACATGGGTACACTTACATACATGCAGGCAATACATTTGTACACATATGTAACTCAGATGTTCCTCCAAAAAGCTGGAGTTGATCCAGGGCGAGCATGAGCAATGGGGAGCACACTGGGAAAAGGGGGTGGAGCCGCCGCCATATTGAGCATGGGTCAATGGCAAGCTAGCAAGACTGGGGGAGGGGCACAAGCAGCTGTGTGCAAAAAGCTGGCTGCTCATGAAACGCTGGCAAAGACTGTGGGCAGGAGGCAGATGGCACATGCCTTTCAAGTATGGAAAAGGAAAAGCCTAAAGGAATCCGTGTCTTTGGAAGTCACCCCCTCCCAAATGTCGTATAAACTATGCAAAATCCGAATAGAATGTGTTAGGTCCCTTTGTCAATCTGTGTCAGGACCACAAGACCCTGAATGAGGGTAGGTCTTCCAGTGGAAAGGGGAAAATTAAGTGAAACAATTGGCACAGTCTGGCAGGATGATGCTGGGAACAAGCCACAGAAGTTCGGGTAAAGCAAGGGGGTCAGCAATGGCCCCATAGGTTATACAATGGATCATAGACTGTGTAACTAGAATGATACGGTCCATACAGACACAGAGGGACTCAAAGGGCAAAATCCCTGGGCCACCACCATACTGTAAATGTGGGAAAATAGCTCAGTTGCTTGCATATGACGATTCTTTAAAGGTTATAGAGAGCCTAGAAAAAATCCTAAAAGCCTTGGAAGCAAACAGGGAACCCAGAGAGGGAGCATGGTCACTTTGTATAATAAAAGATTTGTCCAAGACAAAAGAAGCCCCAGTGGAGGCTGAAAAGGCTAAGGAGTTGCTGAGATTCAGTCTCAGCCTCAGGGCTTGAGAGAGAGAAAAAAAAAAAAACAGGAGATTTTAACTCGCATAATGTCAGGGGACCAGGAGTCAAAGAACCAAAGGAAAAAGACAGGTAGTAATGAGGAAACAAACAACCTAAAAATAATAGTAGCTAAAGCTGCCTCCCATATTCAACAAGCTTTGATGCAAAAAGGGAAAAGAGTTAACAGTACTATAGCTAGGAGAAAACACTCCACACTGGAGCTGTTGAAACTGGGAAAGACTTTTAAACAAGCAATCAAAGAGCCCCTCATCACGTGGCTCCTGAGGGTATGGGACATGGGAGCAAATAATGGCAGTTTAAGTCCTTCAGAAGCATCATGGCTGAGTTATATAACCACCCATTTGTCCTTGAGACATAGGCTGTTTAACCTAGACCAATACAGGAGGGAGCAGTCCGTAATGGAATGGCTTGTGCAAGGCATTAAAGATACATGGTCATCACCAATGGAGATTCCCATGATTAGCAGGGGCTGGAGGACTATAAAAGAGGGACAGATGTTACTGAGAGAACTAGGTATGAGAAAAGCAATATATAATGCCCAGTTCGCTGGGCCAGATAGGGCTGTGTTTACCAGAGATAAAAAGAAAGCTTTATTTAACTGGGACTTCGAGAATGGTATGGAGATTTAATGGTTTTACTAAGTCCTTTAGTGGGACAGGATCTTTGTAAAGTGAGGGAGGCTTTGGCAGATATGACTCAAATCAGCATGTAAAACATGTCTGTAGAATAACAGAACAACCTACAAGAGATAAAAAAAAGACCAGACAGAAGAAATGGTCTGTTTGGATAACTCAAAGACAAATGTGGCAAGGTTGATGCTGAGCCCAAGTTCCCAAAGAAAAAATTGGTAGAAAACCAAATTCCATACTAAGGAGTTTCTGGAAGGCTTTAAAACCTGAGGAACAGTTCACAAAAGACATTTGGATGATAAAAACTGTCCCAGGGGTGGTTAAGGAGCCCCAAAGATTAAATAAGTTATATTTCTCTCCTGAGAATGGCTATTCTAAGAGTGGAGACAGCTTTTCCCACCAGGGCCTCCCCCAGCAGCCAGGAATGGTCAACAGAGAGGCAGCAGATACAGCTACAGTCAGGAGGCAGACCCAGAACCTGCCTGACTCAGGGAACCAACAGGTGCAACAGGAACAACAGAGACCCTCTGCCTCCTTAGCCCAGTGCAGGGTCAGGCAAACCGAAGCCAGCAGGTGTAAATGTATCAAGGATAAGAAGATACAAAGAGACTTCATGTAAAATCCCCAAAATGCAGAATGACTCCAAAGGGATAACTAAAGATAGTAAAGAACTAACCAAGTCAATGCTTCTTACCCATACTATGGTACCTAACAAAGTTCTATGGAGAAAGCAATTAATACAAATGGATAAAACCTTTCCATACTGTGTTAGACCTTGTCTATGATGGATTTAATATATGATGTTGACCTTTGAGTGTTTTACAGATGTGAAACCCATTTGAAAGATATCAAGTACACCTGAAGAAACAAAGGCCGGGCATAGCTGTAAGATTCTTGGGAATTTTATGGTTAGGTAAAATAAAACCAGAGGTTCCCAAAACTGTACAACTGTTAAGAAAAACTACAGTACCAGGGGTGGGTTGCCCCCCTATGAGCTGTTGCTCAGAGAGATCCGAGAGGTCTTCAAATTAACCAAAGCTATTGCCACTAATGTCGATTGTACACTAGAAATGTCAGTAAAGCCATGTTGCTGAACATGCTGCATGATTTGAGCACTGGAGAAGAGATGGAACTGAGACTAAGCTGAAAACTCCATGGTACTATATGGATGGCTTTCATAGTGCCAATAGGTGCTATGCAGATGATTGGGGAAAAAGGATCTCTTATGATTCTGCTCAATAATGACCCCACATGCTGCACACTATTGACATGCCAAGCAATGCCTGCTAGTGCAATAATGACTTGACTAACAGGCATAAAACTAAAAAATGTCTAATTGGATAAGGCCCACTCCTAGGGATGGAACACACATCTGATGCTGTAGACCAGGCCAACTGTCCTGTGTCAGGAAAGACTATAGGCCCCAGGGGGGAAACTGTTGCAAGTATACTGTTTAATGAATATGGTATACCTGTGATATCTTCTAGGCATTTGCATTTACATACATGTCTGTTTAGATGTATCTACTTCCTTCAATTTGCCTTTATAGTAGGGGAAACACCACTGAGATAGATCAGAGGCCATGTCTTGAAGATGAATGATTGAGAGGCCCAAGAGGTCAATAGCCTGCCATGATACAGGAGAGATTGCCCTGCATCTGTCACCCCCCCCCAGGGCTCAAGGACCCTTGCAGAAGAGGTGTAAGAGCCAGATAAAGGGGTGGAGTGTAACCCGGACGATCCTCTGAAAAGCTGGCGTTGATCCAGGGCTTGCATGAGTGACGTGGAGCACACTGGGAAAAAGGAGTGGAACTGCCACCATAATGCACACAGATGAATGGCAAGCCAGTGAGATGGGGGGTGGGGGGGGAGTGAGCAGCTGCATTG